TGCATCCGGCAGCTTGCTCTCAATTGACTTTGTCACCAGAGGGTTCCTTAAAGCGCCAGTGTCACCAAGATCACTCAGATCTTCAAGGGCTTTCTCCACAGCTTGGATGAGCTCAACAATTTTCCTGGGCTGGTGCCCTCTGGCAGCTGGAAGTCTCTGGAGCTCCTCAACTATCTCAACAGCGATCGCAGTTTGGCTTCCGAACCGATTCTCTAGCACACGAAAGATGTCTCCTGCGGTGTTATAATTCATCAATCGAAGATCTCTCATTACTTTCTCATCCAAACTGTCAAGAAGCTGGAACTTTTTGACTTCCTTTGAACCAGTGGGTTCTCCTTGCCTCTGGAGGGCCTCCCAGTCCCTTTTCCAGCGATGAAAGTCTCGCCTGATGCCAGTAAACTTAGGGAGGGAAGTAGGCTTCAGTCTAACTGCTGCTGTTGGATAGTTGATAGTAGCTGCACTCACAACTCTTTCGGCGTCTTCTTTAGCTTTTGCTTGAATGAACTCTGCTTTTCTTGACATTAACTTAGGGATGATCTGCTCAAGATTTCTGACCCGCAGCTGAAAATCTTTCCGTTCAGCAGGGGGAACCCAACACTTCCACTGTGTATGCAGCTCTTTTGCCCTCTTAACCAGTTTTTCCATGTAATCAAACATGAAGTCAAAACTCTCTTTACTCCCATCGGTCCAAAGGACACCACACACTCTACTTTCTCCTCTGCAACCTTTACTGCCATCGACAGTTCCTCTTCTCCAAAGTTTGCCCAGAGTGTCTTTTGGATTAGCTCCTTGAGCTCGTTCAGTCTCGTCTCACACTCACTTGTAGTTTTCTCGATGTCGGCCTTTTGCTGCTCATTCAACCTGGGAACCTCTTCGGAATCAGTATCCAGCTTTGCCTCTACAAGGTATTGGGCCTCTACATCATCGTTGGCTTCCATGACCTTGTTGGCCTCAATTACGAGCTTTTTGAAACTGTCCCTGAGCTCCTCTTCAGGTGTGATGCCATGCATCCGGACTACGTTGTTAGCCAGTCGTGAGAATTGCCGCTTTGCAGATGTCCTGTTAGCTTTAAGCTGCTCCAGTGTCTTTGAGTCAGCCATCTTCTTTTCAGCAGGATTGGGTGAGATGATTTCCCGTTTTATCAGGCCAGGCTGGTTGCTGTTCAGGATTCTCTGCTCCAGTCTTCACAGGGTTTTTTACTGTCAAGTGCATTCACTTTAGTGAAGTTCAACCCTGCAGTTTCCCCCACTTGATAGGGTATGCTTGCCTCTGAAGGTTTGGACTGGATTTTACTCAATGACCAGGAATCAATTCTTTCTTTTCCTTCTTTTATTTGAAAGTTGTCGTAGCCATAAGCAGGTAAAAAACCTTAAATACAAACACAAGTAAATCAATGAAACACATAATAAACTCAGGTAACCATAATAAACATCACCATCCAACATCAAAATACTTATTTTAAATCACTGCTCACATAATTTAACTTTAAATCCTAACAACTTTAACCCTCTACAAACACAATCCTACACTTACAGTTTTTCCCTTTTAAACTTTACAATACATTACTTTTAACCATGCTTCAAATCTCCATGATGTTAAATGTACAACACTTTAGTTTACAATTCAAACACATGGTTTTATACAAACATTTTTTCCCTAAATATAATTACATGATTCACTTTAATATTAAAATCCACCACATTTCACAAACAAACAAACGCTCACCGACTCCTTCCTCGTTCAGACAAGCTTTAGTCCTGCAGTCTCATTTTTTCCAGTTCCTCAACACATCTTCCCAGCCTGCTTTCTATCCTGTGAATGACTCCAAATCTCCTAATTACCAGATCCTTCCCACCTGGTGACTAACTAGCTGACTGCAGCTAGGCACCACAACCAGGGAAAAAAGGGCGTGGTCTGCAGCTCAGCTTGACACTCACTGTGAACCCTTCAAGGCACATACACACACACTCAAACATCAATCTGTCAGGTTGTCACATTGTCCACAATGATAGCAACCCTTGACATTTACATGCATTGGGGACAGGACATTTTTCAGGCGACAGAACAGGCAGGAAAAGGAGGGAATGGGATGAGAAAGATGAAGTGCACTGATCCATGAGTAAGTGAGGCATTAAATATTCTTACTCAGCAGCCACTGCCTGATCTCTTGTGATGTTTAATTCTCGGACACAATCATCCAACAGCTACCTACAGTGTAGATTATTATTAAGTGAAATGATGACATTAACTGATCAGGTAGGTGACTGATTCCACTGCTGATTTTGGGTTGGGCAACAACACCCTTAAAATATATATTTTTAAGGTTAATTTATGTGGGGAACGTGCAGATATTGTAACAGTCTGCAGTATCAATCAATCAAGGGAGGTGTTGTCTGTTTCTGGACCAGAGGCGAGAGGTTGAGGTCATGCTTTCCTCTTAACAATGCTCATGTCAAGAGATAATGAGTGTGCTTCTCTGCAGTGAAAATGTCTTCAGGCATGCACATTGCAGACCAGACTTCAATAACACATTACAGCTAGCAGGTCACTTTCCATACTCAGGAGTCAGCCTCAATTAACACCCTATTTTCAAGAGCAAGCAGCTGCACAAGTAGCTACATGGTGCCTTTGCACTTCGACATGACCGGCAGATGTCTGGGAATTTAACCACCAGAGGCGCTGGTACAGCAGTAGGTGTGGTAGAGCTGAAATAAATCATGGCTTCTCAAATGATCTCCGATCAGACCATTTAAATTTATTGAGAGCCATGGCACACTGACAGTTGAATGGACAATGAAATGTCATTAGTCATGGCAGAGAATGCACGTAACTGCTTGTAACTGTGCTTTGTAACTGCTTTCTGTTGGGAGCCTGACTTGGTCACAAATTGTATTGTGTACAATGTAATTCACATGGATTGACAAAAGTTTGCACATTTTATTTTGTCAAATTTGTCAAAAAAATACTCACCTTAGTGTAGACTTCCAGCAAAAGATTTTACACAAAACATAAGGTGTAAACTGTAACAGAATAAAACAGATTCCATGTTTAAAATGGAGCAGTGGCCTTTCATCAAAATAACTGTGATGCTTTGAGTTAAATGCTAACATCAGCATGCTAACGTTTAGCAGTTATATGCTAATGTGGCTAAAACTGATTAAACCACAACAATAAGAAGACATTCAAGACGTGAGGACAGTTTGTCATATCCACATAACACTGAGGATTACAAAGAGGTTGTTTCCTTCACTAATAAAGGAGAAATAGAAAGTCTTAATAGAAGCATTTTATGAGCTGTGGTCAAGCTGTGCATGTGCGTGCCTCCTTCAACTATGTGCATGGAACATGCAGGATGCATCAGAGCAGGTATTCAAATTCAGTCTGTAGCCGTGAGGGATGTGGCTCATAATTACGCATGCAACAAATATAGCTACGTTGATTAAAGCTGGCATAACTTAAATTATTTTGCAAAATAGGTACGTAGTGTTTCTGAATACTTGTGCTTGGAGCACACAGCAGAATGGCAAACAGGGAAATATTGTGGTGATGTAGCACAGTGTCTTTGCTGTATTGATAGAAGACAACATACTGGCCACTCACTTTTTTGTTTTGGTAAAAATCTAAACTTAAATTCTCACATTTATGTTTGAATAATTGATGCATAAAATGAAATAAATTTTACAGTCCTGTAAAAAAGGCTTTAATGGATTCATTAATCGTCTTTGTGTTCTGATAATAGCATTATTGTGTGCATATAATTGTGCGCACTTCCAACTCGTCACATTGAGCGCTAGGTCAAGACCCTTTGGGTCCTTTAGCGTTATTTTTCAATGTGTATGAATGTGTATGAATGTGTATTTCTATTTCATCAGTGAATGAATGTGAGTGAATGGGATGTAGTGTAAAGTGCTTGGAAAGATTAGAAAGTTGCTATAAGTACAGACCATTTTCTATTTACCATTTACCCTGGGTTGTGTCACTGTACACTGTACACTGTAAAATCACTGCTGGGCGTGGTCTTTTGCAGCAGACTTTAAATCAGAGAGGGCAGTAAAACACTGATTTTAAGCCTAGTGTTAAGTTACTCTTTGAAGGTTAAAGAAAGTATTTAATTTACTTATTGTGTACTAATATTAAACTGGCAAACACACCAAAAAGAGATGTAATATTTAGTATATTTGGTGTAATATTCTGAACTTTATGTTGGTGCACTTTCACCTGGTGAATCCAAAAGCTCAATTTCTTATGCCAAAATCTTCTGTTGAAACATTTGCATCGACAGTCTCTCTCATGCACGTTCCTGTCCTGAAAACGACAACACTTGCCCTCACTTCGTAAGCTGACTTTATCTGATTTGCACTGGCAAGGAATTTGCCCTCTGCTCTGTGAGTTGGCCACAAGGGATGTTAAACCTTAAAGGCAGTTTTTGGAAGCTTTCCAAACAACCAGCAACACTTGTAGGTTGGGTTTAGTGTGCACCACAGCAAATCACAGTAGTGTTGGTCTTAGGAGGTCTTCCTATATAATATTTATAGGAGGAATCAAACTTTAAAGCTATTTGACTGAATATTGAGCTGTGCAGTGTTTAAAATGAGGAGGATGTGCAAAACGTTCACAGTATAAATAAAAATGCAAAGTGTGAAAATTAAAACTTAGAGGATTGAAAAAATGTCTTTTAATGTAATGTGTAAGGTTGGAGGAAAGTTGGATGAACTCAAAGCCTAAACTGAAGAACATGACATAATTCATTATTTTTACACGTTTGTTGCCTTGATATTTCAACTTTTTTCAACTTGTTCGTTCGAGTGTGTGTGTGTATGTGTGTGTGTGAGACAAGTTTTGCAGTTGCTCAGTGTTGCTTTAAGCCAAAATGTTTCCAGCTGTGCTCCTGTCTTTAGATTTTAGTGTCTAGCTCTTGTTAGTTATGCACTTTTCGGAGTTACTGGCCTTTTGTCTGAGCTGCATTTTCACTTATACTCCATGTGTCTATTTTTGTGTGTGTGTGTGTGTGTTTTGGGTTCAGGATTAGGTGGACGATGAACATGTCTGGCGGTCCCCCAGGGGAGGAGCTCACGGATGAGGAGAAAGAGATCATCAACAGTGTACTGGCTCGTGCAGCCATGATGGAGAACATGGAGCAAGAGAGGATTGGGTGAGATGGAAAACTATTGTCTCAGTTGCACCAAATCATGTCAGTCAACCACACACAGATGCTCGCTGAGTTGAATGATGCTTTGGTGTAAAACCTGTGCCAAGTTTGTGTTTGTGCTCACATTATTTGCATGTGTTCTCAGGCGTCTTTCCAGTCGCCTGGATAATATCAAGAAGACAGCGTGTGGTGACGGACAGTCGCAGTGTTTGTTGTGTGGGGCGTCTTTTGGACCACAGGGGGTCACAGCTGTTCTCTGTGTGCAGTGCAAAAAAGTAGGTGGATATTTAGATTCTTTCTGCTTGAACAAGGAAAGAAAACAGACACTACACTTGTTCCCAGAGGACGTAAGGTCTGCACACACGATTTCTGTTTACTGTATGTCCTATAGTGTTGTTTAGATCCTAAGAGGTTTCCTATGGTGATAAACACCAGTGAGCCATATGCTAAATTGTTCTGACATGCATATTTCCTGATCTTATGAATCACATTCATTTTTTGTTTCCCTCAGTAACTCAGTAGATGTTAATACCATGTGAACTGTAAAAGTATATGTGCTCTGTGCACCTGCCATCAAGGACTCAGTGTGTGTTTTATGTATGTATTTCACTCTTTGCAGCACATGTGCAGCAAATGTGGGATATGGAGCAACAGCAGAACATGTCCTATGTGGCTGTGCAGAATCTGCAACGAAGACCAAGAGGTGAGTGAAAGGAAATATGTAGCACAGGGTGGGTTTGATAAAATCATGGTGCCTAATTATACCATTATGTGATTCTTCTGCCACCAGAACAGAAGCTCTTCTCATGATATGAACCATTTCCTAGCTTTTAGACTCGTCTATTGCATTTCACTGTCCAGTGACCTGGAAAATTACCTTCCATTGACACCTCTTCAATATCCAAACTGAGTTATAGGAAATTATTTTTTCAACACTTATTTCATTAAAAAAATACAGATAGTATTTTGTTTATTATGAAAAATGAAGAATGTATTGTAGTTATACAATGCTGTTTTGATGCGCTGTGTTTGTTGAGGTCTCTGCCTCGGGGAGCCCAGACTCTTTAAATAAATGCTCCCTCCTGTCAGTCACACACAGAATAACTTCTCTGTAATGCTGCAAAGACAAACCCGTCATTTGTCTGTTTAATAAAATAAATCTTTTTTTCCAAGTCAGACAGTCAAATCAGTATTTATTAATCGTTTAGTCTATTTAAACACAAAACAATCACACAAATTCAACACACAAATCAACACATTTTGCCCAAAAGTAAATACTGTTGAAGACAATGGCTCATTTTACTCATTTTCATGTGGCGACTTTGAAAGCTTTGTTTCCTGCAATAACTGATTTTTTGGTAGTAAACACAACATTATGTCACCATTTTTTACATTGATATGTTGAACTTGTTAGCAAACGGTTGCTTATTTCCACATCCAGCAGTTACCCTTTTGTCTGCTGATGAAGGTATGTGCTCAGTCCTGGTACTCCTGGACGTTAGCGCTGCTTTTGACACCATTGATCACAACATCATGTTAGACAGACTGAGGCACTGGGTGGGGATCTCTGGTACTGCCCTAGAATGTTTTTCATCCTACCTGTCAAATAGGAAGTGTCTGTAAACAACTACGTCTCTTTGTTCTGTCCAGTTAAATATGGTGTGCCTCAGGGGTTGGTCTTAGGACCCATTTTGTTGGGTGAACTCGAACTGCGTCGGTGACGACACTATGGGAACGAGATACCCTCTAGGCTGCGCCAAAACCCCCGCCTGCACCCAGCATGCAGAAACCTGTAGGCACGACTAAGAGGAGAGCGCACGGGTGCCGGGTGCAGAAGGAAGGTCCAGACTGTAAAACTGGATAAAAGTATGAGGAGTGGCCCAGCCAGATGCCTCACACAGATCCAGGAGCAAAGCCCCTGCGAGGAGGGCCCTAGAGGCCGCCATGCCCTCATGGCCATAGGTGAAGGTAACCCGCGCACCTGATAGGCACCTGATAGGCCAGGGAAATATTCTGAACGATCCAGTTGCTGATCGTGTGTTTAGAAGTGGGGAGCCCAGCCTTGGGGGACCCAAAACACACCAGCAACTGGTCTGCTTTCCTCCACCTGGAAGACCTCAGTGTGTAAACACTTAGCGCTCTGAGAGGGCAGAGCAGATGAAGTCTCCCGTCCTCCGCCGTCACATGAGGTGTGGGATGAAACGCCTGCAGCACCGTGGACCCTGCCAAACTGGACGGAACCTTAGGGACATAGCCCGGACAGGGGTGCAGGATGGCTCTGACCCTACCCAGGGCGAACTCCAGGCATTGGGGAGAAACCGAAAGTGCCTGGAGATTCCCCACCCTCCTCAGAGAGGTGATAGCGAGGAGAAAGGCCATCTTAAGGGTCAGGTGCTTGAGAACCGCGCCAGGTCCCAAGTGGGAACCCAGGTCCCAAGTGGGAACCCAGGAACGAGTCACGGGTCTCATCCTCTGGACTCCACGGAGGAAGCGCACGACCAGTGGAAGCCTCCCCAAAAGCCCATCCCTCAGAGGGGCGTGAAACGCTGCAATGGCAGCCACATACACCTTGAGCATGGACGGGGAAAGGCCAGCAGAGAAACGGTGCTGGAGGAACTCCAGTATCATAATCACCGAGCAGGTAACTGGGTCCACCGCCCATTCTCTACACCAGGTGGCGAACACCTTCCACTTCAGGCCGTACATCCTTCTCGTGGACGGGGCTCTGGACTGAGTAGCGTCTCGACCGCTTCTGCCGTCAGGCCCGCCTCCAGGAACTGCGCCCCCTCAGGGGCCAGACCCACAGCTGTCACAGGGCGCGACGCGGGTGAAAGAACCGCTAACTCTCGAGACTGGGCCAGAATGAGCCAGTCGTCGATGTAGTTCAATATGCGGATGCCCTGGAGCCTCATCGCGGCCAGAGCTGCAGATCCATACACTTGGTGAACATGTGAGGGGAGAGTGCTAGGCCAAACGTAAGAACCTGATACTGGTACGCCGCGCCCCCGAAGGCGTACCTCAGGAACTTCCTGTGAGAGGGACGGATGGAGATGTGGAAATATGCGTCTCGCAGAGCTATCGTGACAAACCAATCCTTGGATTGGATGTGACTGATGATGGCGGGGATGGTAAGCATCTTGAACCTGAATCTCCTCAGAGATAGGTTCAAGGACCACAGATCTAAAATCAGACGCAACCCTCCGTCCTTCTTGGGAACTATGAATTACCGGCTGTAGAACCCGGACTCCCTGACTGGCGGGGAAATAAGTTCTATGGCCCCCTTCTCCAGCAGAGAGCAAACTTCTTGTCCCAATACCTGGCTCTGCTCCGTGTGCACCGCAGTCCAGACCACCCCGTTGAATCTGGGGGGGGGGCGGACCCGGAACCGCAGCCTGTAGCCATCCACTACGGTGCGCAGGACCCACAGGGATATGTTTGCAAGGCTCCGCCATGCTTCTGCGAAATCCACCAAGGGAACCCTCGGGGCTGGTGGCCAGTGTTATGCGTAGGTCCCCGGTGGCACCCTGAAGCGGAGGACCGCCAGGGAAAACTCGGCGGCGACCCACGGTGTGTGAGCCCGATCGTCTTTCGGCTGCATCCCCTCGAGGCGGGCTGAGACGGCAGGAAAAACAGCGTCTGTTGCCCGAGCCACCACGAGGGAGGGGACCTCGGTTCTGCTGCTCCTAAAGGGCTAAAGAAATAAATTAATGCTGTTTTACAGCGTAAAGAAACATTTGGTAGCAGGTCATGATTAGCTATGATGATTTCTGCTTGGTTATTCGGTCTGAGACTCCCCAGGCGTCCCCCTCTTTGCATACAGAACTATGTATATTTTTCCATTGTCTATGCATTGGACATTTCGAGCTATGTTCATATGTCCATGTGTTTGTAGAACAGGATGTGTAAACTTGGTACTACTTGTTATAGCTGTAATCCTGCAGCATATAAAGTTGAGTAGTTTCCATTTTTATTTTAAGCTTTCAGCTGACACAGTGTATTATTATAGTTAACTTACCTGAATTCACTGTGTGTTCCTGTAGGTACAAAAGCGTTCAGGAGCTTGGTTCTTCAAGGGGAGAGACCAGCAGAGTCTGCCTCCTCCCCTCCCTCTGTCCAGACCTCGACAGTCCAGCACAGAGAGCAGTCCTGGTCCAGCAGGCCAAGATGGCTCACAGGAACCTACAACATATCGTCAGCGATATGGTAGTTTCTACTAAGAGATTAAGCTTCAAACTAGAACCCTGCGCGGGACTGTTTTCTTGATCCCGCTCCCACTGATTTTGTGACCATTACCGCCCGCTCCTGCAACATGTTTATCCACTCCTGCCTGCAGCCACAAAAATTGTGACATGTAGAGTAAAAAAAAATGACACAATGCTTGGGACGCAAACATTCAGAATAACCAACATAAATCATTGCGTTCGTTTTTATCAGTAACAACTGAGAAGTTTTCCAAATTTTAGACTTGCCTTGTTTTGGTATTGTATTATATAAGCCCGCTTTAATCTTATTTTCAACTTCGTTTTGTTGACTCCATCTTATTAGCGCCAGCTAAATCCCGGGACACGCAGTTTATATTTTAACTGCCCACTCCTACTCTCAGCTGAGTTAAAACTGCCCGCCCCCGCGCAATTTGTGATAGGACCCAATGTTGCTATCAATCAACTGACACTGTCTTCAAATGACTTGGAGAACATAACCATGATATAGTAACCCAAACTGGAGTTAAAATCCAATCAGCAGTTTAGGAACAGTGTTTTCAGTGGGAGATGGCAACTCCCTTTGGGTGGACTTTGGGCTTTTTCACTTTGCAAACCTATTACATGCACAAAAAAGATATATTACTCAATAAAGGAAAGGGGAAAAAACAAAAGCATAATATGACCTCTTTAATGTAATGCTTAATATAGAGAGCAGTATTTCTTATTTTATTAATTTATGTTGCTTTTTTTGTGTGAATTTCTCCTAGTAGCTGGCAGTGACTCTAGGGGGCCCTCTGCCACCGCAACAGGCGCTTATTGGCTGGTGCTGGTGTCACTTTTGACCAATATTTTGAAATCTAAAAATGATGTGCAAATGTTGGTTTTATGTAAGACAACATCCATCCTGTCATTCAGTGATCAGGAGAAAATCATCTGTATCTTTGCCTACTCTGTCTTTACACCTGCCTCAACCGAGCAGCTGTAACTATTATTAATTACTAAACACAACCAAACATACCCTATCTAAGTTAGTACTCCTCAAATGTAACTAAGTGCATTTACTCAAGTTCTGTAGTTAAGTACAGTTCTTAGGTACTTGCACTTTAAGTATTCCGATTTTATGCTAATTTCTATTCCTACTCTACGACATGTTGAAGGCAAATATTTTACTCCACTACATTTATCTGACAGCTTTAGTTAAAAGTTACTTTGTAAATCTGGATTATTAATCAACTAATACATTCCAATGTTTTATTGTAGATTAAGCCTCAGCAGTATATAAAGTTATTAAAATTACACCCACCTTTACCAGCTGCAACATGTTATTGTGCATATTAATGCGTCACTTATTATAATCCAGTAATATAATGTATGTGATTCTGAAATGGGCCATTCAGCATAATGAATACACTTTTCTTTATGGTATTTTAAGTATATTTTGATGCTAATACTTTTGTACTTTTTGATATTTTGAATGCAATTTGTAAGAGTATTTTTTTTACATTGTAGTCTTGCTACTTTTACTTTAGTAGAAGTTCTTAGAAGAATATGTCTTCCACCCCTGAGTGATAGCAGAATAACCAGGAGCTGTGGCTGTAGTGGTGGCACCAATACTAACTGTTGTGGTGGCACTGATACTTTTATTTTGTCTACTCAGAGCTCAGTGCAGAGCCACAGCAGCAGCAGTCCTGTGGGTCAGAACAATGGGAGCAGACAGCAAGAACAACAGCTGACAGCTATAATGAGGGTCAGTCCTGTCCAGCAGCTGTAATGAAGACTGAGAGACATGTGTTAGCTTCCAAACCACCTCGGGCAAACACACAGCAGGCCGCCCCCACCTCAGGTAAAGTAGCGCTGTTCCTTCTAAGAATAAGCCCAATGCTACATGGCTGCTTTCAAAAGATTTAACATCAACATCGACATACACAAAGATGTTTCAGACAATAATAAATTGCCTTTTTTGTATTGTAATGTTGCCCCTGCTGCAGAAAACAGACACCCAGAGCTGGAAGAGACAGTGTCTCCTCCAGCTGTGGAGGCAAAAAGACAGCCTGTTGTCTCCAGCTCCTTTTCATCACATATTCCCGCAACCAGAATAATGCCACCTGTTAATCCACCAGTCAACGCCCCTGCACCCCCACACCCCCCACCTGATCGAACAGAGGATGAGGACAACGACTACGACTCAGATGATGCCAGTAAGACTGATTCATCTTAAACCAAACTTTATAGAACGAGAAAGTGTCTTCTAATCCTAGATGTTTGCTTACTTTTGAATAATACTAATTCCTCCATGTGTGCCTAAAGCTGTAAAAGAAAACCCCAGTGGAGCAATGAAGAGTAACAAATCAATGTTTATCTGCGTTAGAGGAAAAATTGTTTTTTATAACAGGAGTCATGTAAAAGTTCAGATTCCATTTTGCTCTCAGATGTCTAATGTGTTCCTGTGTTTTTATACTTGCAGCCACTTTAGGATGTCTGGAGTTCAGTCTCCTTTACGAACAGGAGAACCATGCTCTACACTGTTGTCTCATTAAAGCTAAGGTAAACACATGAGATAAGAAGAGACTAAATGAGACAAGACAAGAGAACACTACAAGGGACAAAATGACAAGACAAAACAATATAAGACAAGACAAAGCAAGACGGGACAAGACAGTACAAGACAAAACAAGATAATACAGGACATGAAAAGACTAGATGGGACAAGACAAGATGGGACATGAAAAGATGGGAATAGACAGGAAGAGTTAAGACAAGATAAAACGAGAGAGGCCAACACAAAACAAAACGAGCAAGAAAAAATGGATCAAGAGAAGAAAAGATGGGACTAGACAAGAAAAGACGAGACTAGACAAGGAAAGATGGAACAAGACAAGAAAAGACGAGACTAGACAAGGAAAGATGGAACAAGACAAGAAAAGACGAGACTAGACAAGAAAAGACGGGACTTGATGCGGAAAAGATGTAACAAGACAAGAAAAGATTGAACGAGATAAGAAAAGATGGAACAAGACAAGAAAAGATGGAACAAGACAAGAAAAGATGGAACAAGACAAGAAAAGACAAGACTAGACAAGAAAAGATTGAACAAGACAAGAAAATGTGGAACAAGACAAGAAAAAATTAAACAAGATAAGAAAATGTGGAATAAGACAAGAAAAAATTTAATAAGACAAGAACATATGGAACAAGACAAGACAAGATGGAACAAGACAAGAAAGGTTTGAAAAAGACAAGAAAAGACTGAACAAGACAAGAAAAGATGCAACAAGACAAGAAAGCAGCAAATAAGACAAGATAATATGGAACAAGACAAGAAAAGATTGAACAAGACAAGAAAATATGGAACAAGACAAGACAAAATGGAACAAGACAAGAAAATATGGAACAAGACAAGAAAATGATAAGATTGAACAAGACAAGAAAATATGGAACAAGACAAGACAAGATGGAACAAGACAAGAAAGGTTTGAAAAAGACAAGAAAAGACTGAACAAGACAAGAAAAGATTGAACAAGACAAAAAAGCAGCAAATAAGACAAGAAAATATGGAACAAGACAAGAAAAGATTGAACAAGACAAGAAAATATGGAACAAGACAAGACAAAATGGAACAAGACAAGAAAATATGGAACAAGACAAGAAAATGATAAGATTGAACAAGACAAGAAAATATGGAACAATACAAGAAAAGATTGAACAAGATAAGAAAATATGGAACAAGACAAGACAAAATGGAACAAGACAAGAAAATATGGAACAAGACAAGAAAAGATGCAACAAGACAAGAAAGCAGCAAATAAGACAAGAAAATATGGAACAAGACAAGAAAATATGGAACAAGACAAGACAAAATGGAACAAGACAAGAAAATATGGAACAAGACAAGAAAATGATAAGATTGAACAAGACAAGAAAATATGGAACAAGACAAGAATGGCTTGAACAAGACAAGAAATTATGGAACAAGACAAGAAAGGCTTGAACAAGACAAGAAAATATGGGACAAGAAAAGATAGAACAAGACAAGAAAATGAAAAGATTGAACAAAACAAGAAAATATGGATAAGATGGGACATGAAAAGATGGGAATAGACGGGAAGAGTTAAGACAAGATAAAACGAGAGAGGCCAACACAAAACAAAACGAGACAAGAAAAAATGGAACAAGAGAAGAAAAGATGGGACTAGACAAGAAAAGACTAGACTAGACAAGAAAAGACGGGACATGATGCGGAAAAGATGTAACAAGACAAGAAAAGATTGAACGAGATAAGAAAAGATTGAACAAGACAAGAAAAGATGGAACAAGACAAGAAAAGTGAAGGCTAGACAAGAAAAGATTGAACAAGACAAGAAAATGTGGAACAAGACAAGAAAAGACAAGACTAGACAAGAAAAGATTGAACAAGACAAGAAAATGTGGAACAAGACAAGAAAAAATTAAACAAGATAAGAAAATGTGAAACAAGACAAGAAAAAATTTAATAAGACAAGAAAATATGGAACAAGACAAGACAAGATGGAACAAGACAAGAAAGGTTTGAACAAGACAAGAAAAGACTGAACAAGACAAGAAAAGATGCAACAAGACAAGAAAGCAGCGAATAAGACAAGAAAATATGGAACAAGACAAGAAAAGATTGAACAAGACAAGAAAATATGGAACAATACAAGAAAAGATTGAACAAGATAAGAAAATATGGAACAAGACAAGAAAAATGGAACAAGACAAGAAAATGGAAAAGACAAGAAAATATGGAACAAGACAAGAAAGATTGAACAAGACAAGAAAATGATAAGATTGAACAAGACAAGAAAATATGGAACAAGACAAGAAAATATGGAACAAGACAAGAAAGAATTGAACAAGACAAGAAAATATGGGACAAGAAAAGATAGAACAAGACAAGAAAATGAAAAGATTGAACAAGACAAGAAAATATGGAACAAGACAAGAAAGGATTGAACAAGACAAGAAAATATGGGACAAGAAAAGATAGATGTGTGCATCTCATGCTGATCCTCACCATTATTTCTTTATGTGTCTCAGGGTTTAAAGCCAATGGACTCAAACGGACTTGCTGACCCGTATGTGAAGCTGCACCTTTTACCTGGAGCCAGCAAGGTACAGTCACGTTAATTATGACTTTAAGGTGATTGAAGGACCATAATATCTTAATTATTGTTCTAATATGTCAGCAGCAGACATTATAGTAGGCTCATTCATTCAATTACCTTGTCCAGCACCTCCCTGTGTCATGTGTCATGCATGCAGTATACAAGAAATGGTGATTTTTTTTAAAATGAGTGAACAACAGCACCTATGTCGAAATCGGTTGCCCTTAAAGACCACAAACTAACCACTGCACAAAACATGAAGAACATGAAAAGCCTCAAGAGTCAACTGTCCACGACAGGCCTGAACCAGCTGGTACCAGCATGAAAACAAACTCCGGTTCAAACACCGCTATAATGATGTTAAGATGATGACAGATAAAGCCATTACGACAACAGCTACAACAGAACTCAGGGCTACAGCGACAGATTAAATAGTTTACCCATACTTGCACTGTCTGATGTCGTAATACCTGCACTGGTGATTTAATTTTTTTATGTAGTTTTACTTGAATGCCTCAGTTTTAAGTAAATACAGTAGACCTGTTTCCATTAACTTCTTGGTACCGGACCTGCCCGAAACTGGACAGGTAATTGATTTTCGCTGTTCTAGCTGTTTTCTGTCCAAAAACAGCGGCCGTTTGACCAACATAGACCGTCTGGCGGGCCGCCATCT